ATTATAAGATCTTCCGAAAAAAATTTCACACACGTGATTATAATTTGCGCCTAATTAATAGATCGCAAAATTTAGAAGTTATTTATCAATCGCGTGTTATTAAATTTATAAGATAATTAAATTGAAGGTATATAAATGTAAATTTATCCGATACCGGAGATATGAGATACATATTATTAGATATGTGGAACAAAATCCTTGACAAATTTGCCAAATAGAAATTATACAAGAGAGATATTATAGATCAAAAATTAATTAACGAAATCTTTAATTTTTTGTATTCTTTCAGGGATAACTATTTCTGGATTTTCATCATACCATACCTCAAGTAAGAAAATTCCGTTATCTTGACATATGCATCTTTTTCTCCAATCATGATTAGCGATGTCCTCAAGTTTTTTAACATCTTTATACCAACCAGTATTATGAAACCGGTACTGACTTCCTTGCACCTCCAATGCGATTCGATATTTTTGAAAGAAGGCATCAAGTTCTAACCCATTCAGAAAAGGAAGACGGTACTCAATTATTGGCTCCTCATTAAGAATTTCTATAATTATTTGAATACATTTATTCTGGAATTTAAGATTTTTCTTAAATATTAGCTTCAGTTCCAATTTCACAACTTAAGCTTAAGCTCAATATTCTCGGTTTTAAGATTCACAGTATCCATTTTATATCACTCCAATTCCACAATTCTAGCCATAAGCTCATCTTTCTCTTTCATAGTTTGTTCTGATTCTGTGATTCTAGCTATAAGCTCATCATTCTCTTTCTCAGTTTATTCCAATTTCGCAATTCTAGTCAAAAGGTTGACATTCTCTTGTTTCAATAGATCTACTTCAGATTTGATATTTTCCATTGTTTTGTATAAGATACGAATATATTTAAATAAAATTCACAAAAAAATACTAGTTACATATTTCACATTACACAAAAAATAACACACGATACGTTGTACGTTTCTCTAATCAAAAATCTTTATTAATAACAGAGCTAATGACAAAGACACATAAAATATACAATAAAAAATACAGAATAAAATATACAATAAAAAATACATGATTAAAGCTCCTAATGAGCCAAGTCAAGCTGAGTTACATAAGATTTGGCTTGAGCTCAAATATTTAAATCTGGCTCGAGTCAAGTTTTAAATCCAATAACTTAACTC